CTAGAAGTTTTCAAAAAAGAGACAGTCACTCGATTTTTTCTCAAGTTTGTCTGCCTTGGTAGATCAAGCAATGCCAGAACAAGCCTCCAAGCACACATTTGATCATGGTCGGATGATTGGACATTTTTTACGGGGTCTTTCGTACTTCCCGAAAATTTATGAGGGAACAGAAGTGGGGTTTGAAAAAATGCGTTTAGGTATATGGGAAACGCTGTTCACTGTTCATAAAATCTTTACTATTTAAAACACCCGTTTATTTTTTTTTAAGTACAGCCTAATTTAAACAGCGAAATAAGAGCACACTTTAACATCCAATTTAATGCCTGCTATTAACGTTGGTGTGTTATAAAGCTGTCGATCAAGACGTTACCCGATCAGTGGTAAGGCGCACCTTTGGGGGCGTCGGGTAAAAGCCTTTTGACGCTCATCACCGAACTACTCGGAATAAAATATTTTTACAGCTTTTTCTGGAAACAGAAATTAGTCTCAAACAGTGACTGAAGTACATACCTAAAAGTGCAAGCTAACGGTTATACTGCACGACAGGGGATAGTTTTTTTTTGTGCTGCTGGATGCTGGTAGCTACGATATCTTGTCTGATCCAAATAAAATAAAATAAAATAGCCGAGCATATTGCGAATATCCTCGTGCCGCCAATTGTGGCAAAAATTCCGCCCTCGTTATCCATTATCGCTACCTATCTGAAATTGGAATATATCAATCTCGAAACATTCTTGACAATGCCACCGCTGTTTTGGGAGACAAAGCCAGAAATACCAAAAACATAAACTCTCATAATACTCAAATTGAACTCAGAGCTAAGACGAAAGCCAAATTATCGAGAAGCTCTCGGCATTGTGTCACTTTGATCGCCCTGTCTGCTGTGCCGCCGTGACGTGGCACTGACCCGCCGTCACGTCGGCCGCCGCCGTGACGTGGCCGTCCGATGGCGCGATGACGTGTCCCGGCGGCTGGCGCGTCGTACTGACGCCGCCGGCGGCCGATGACGGCCGGGCGGCGCCATGAGCGTCATTCCGGCGGCAGCGTCCAACTTCCGGCACGGACGGCACGGGCGGCACGGACAGCACGGACGGCGGTCCAGACGTGCAGCCTCTATCCAGGGTTGTGCTTGACTCATGAGTCGAGTCAGAAATTTGACTCAACTCTGACTCAAATGAGTCAGATTTGAGTCGAGTCGGATAAAATGTTGAGCTGTTGAGTTGAGTCAGAGTTGAGTCGGACAAAAATATTAAGGCGTTGAGTTGAGTCGGAGTTGAGTCAGTAAAATAACTTTTGACATTGAGTTGAGTCAAACATTTAGGAACATGAGTCAGCTGACTCAACTTTCTAGAAACAAGCTTTTAATCCCCCCCCCCGTTTAACAACTTCGCCCTGGCCCTGCTGCCGGATTTTTTTTTTCACCCCCGCCCCCGCTCAACAACTTTTTTATCTGAGTCAATTTTGAGTCAACTCACTTGACTCAGCAAAAAATTTGAGTCAAGTTTGAGTCGACTCATATTTTCATTGAGCCGCTTGAGTCATGAGTCGAGTCAAGGGAAAAAATCAGCTCCTTGTTTGAGTCAGAGTTGAGTCAGGGCTTTCTGAAGTTGATTGCTGAGTCGAGTCGGCAATTTTTTTTGAGTCGAGCACAACCCTGCCTCTATCCCGACCTCCCTCTCCCTCCCCCTCTGTCTCTGCCTCTCTCCGTCACCCCCTCCATCTTCTCTCTCTCTCTCTCTCTCTCTCTCTCTCTCTCTCTCTCTCTCTCTCTCTCTCTCTCTCTCTCTCTCTCTCTCTCTCTCTCTCTCCTCTCCCCACATCTTCATAGTATCTTAAATTTTTATTTTTTCTTTGCATTTGTCGGTTCTTGGTTCATACCAATAAATACCCCGATAGACCATAGTTCTATGCTCCATCTTCCATCCCCCTTTGCTTACTGAAATAGGGAACAACTTATGTGATGTGGTCACATAGTAAATATCTTGCTAGGATAACTATGATCTGGTAAAACGTTGGCTGCTGTGTGATCCAGTGAAATCATAGACCCTCACTTAAGCATTTCTTTTTTCAGCATATAAATCCTAAAGATTAACTTGTTTTAACTCACAAAGGTTCTGTTCAAGCAGTTCTATGTGATCGCACGACGCACGTCATAGTTCATAGTTTTGTGGCACTTATTGACTTAGAAAGACTTGCAGACGTGGTTTCAAATGTTGCGCATGGTAGGATCAGATCAGATCATTGACCCATGTCCTTGATTTATCGTCAGATCAATATGAGATTAATTCATAGATCTAGGCCGGGATACTTTTTTCACGCGGGGTCCGGTGAGTTTATAGACCCTAATTTACAGCTTGCTTTGAGATCCACTGAGCTCATAGATCCATCACTCATCCATGCTCATTGCGCATCGCACAATTCACATATATGTCACCTCGACATAAGTTAATTCCGAGTTATTTACATGGAAGAAAAGTGCCAAAAACAAATACAGGATGTAGTTGCATACGTGTCCAATGCTGCCTTTCTGGATCCACGAGTATAGGCTATAGCAGATTTGAACAATGAACAAGACGGCAGCCAGACAGTCGGCAGGTGATCAGCTGGGCTGGGCGGCCGTGTCTCGGCAGCCCAGCCTGTCTGTGCCCGGCGCGGTCCACGCTGCACAGTGTGAACTGCACAGTGTGCACACTGCACACTGCACAGTGCACGGAGCATGGAGCCACCGCCGGCGGCGAGGTCGTCCGGCCGACCGACCGGCAGGCGGCAGCCCGGCCCGTTAGCTGCCGCGCGGCCGTGACGTCAGCACCGGGGGGGGGGGGGGGGCACCTGGTGGGCGATAGCGCCGTGCCGTGCTGTGATGTGACCGCTGTTCCGTGCTGTGACCGTTGTTCCACGTTGTTCCGTGCTGTGACCACTGTTATGCCGTGCCGTGTTGTGACCGTTGTTACGTACTGTTCCGTGCTGTGACCTTTGTTATGTCGTGCCCTGTTGTGAGTGTGACCGTTGTTACGTGCTGTTCCGTGCTGTGACCGTTGTTATGCCACGCCGTGACCGTGGCCACCGCTCCGTTCCGTGCTACATTGGTACCGTTATTCCAGTCACCCAAGCAACTTCATCACTTATCAATATTTATGTGTACTTCCACACCCATAATTACGCCTTGTAATCCTTTAGTTCACATCTCTTTTATGTCTTCGAATCAAGGTCGTCGGTTCCCGCCCTGGTGGTTCGCCTCCCGAGCACCCCGTCCGTGTGGTATATAAATATTCCCTTGTAGTCGCAGCCGCACTGCTTTGGCAGGACTCCTGCGGTGGGGCAGGGATCGACTGATCACCAGCAGAAACAAGACGGCAAACAAGTTGGCCGGGCGGGGTCCGACCTGTGCCGTCTCCCCAGCCCATACCTACCGAGCTACTGACAAACACAGCTGCGGCGCGGCCCCGCGCCACTTCGGTGTGACGCCACCCCTGCGGTAGCGGCGGCGCTGCCAAGCTCGCAGAAAGGAGTCCCATAGAGCTGGGAAAACCCGGCACGGCTGCGGAGAAAAGCCCACAGAGCTGGGAAAACCCAACAGGGGCCGCGCCGGCTCTGGGGAGAGGGGAGACAGAGACGCAAAGAGAGGAAACGCGCCGGGTTGGTGTAACCGGGAACACACGGCGCTGGTGTAACTGGGAACACACGGCGCTGGTGTAACCGTGAACCGCCGCGCTGGTGTAACCGGGAACACACGGCGCTGGTGTAACCGGGAGCACACGGCGCTGGTGCAGCCGGGAGCACACGGCGCTGGTGCAGCCGGGAACACACGGCGCTGGTGTAACCGGGAACACGCGGCGCCGGCGTCCCAGCCGCGGCCGGTAGAGGTGTTGTGTGGTGGGGTTCACTCCGTTTCTGCTGCAAGCCCGGCCGTTCCGAGACCGCTCCCCGGCTCACCCCGGTTTCTACCCCGACCCCGACCCCCCCCCCCCTCTGCTGGGGGCAGATCGTGGGAATGAGACAAAGAGCCGCCAGCTGGCAATCAGGGCCGCCGGATGAGCGGAGCAGCGGGGGGAGCTGCAACCCTGCCGGGGGTGTGCAATGTGCATTGTAAATGCGTCATAGTTGCAATTCTCTCTCCTCCCCTCGGGACCCCTCTCCCTCTCCCCTTTGTCCCTTCCTCCGCTTCTCGCGTCCATCTCTCCCGTTCCCTACGTAACTTTCATTGAGATTTGAGACAAAGTCGTGCGATTTTGAAGCGTGCTTTGCTTTGGTAGGTAGGTACTCGTTTCGCCATCACTTTCAACTGGCCGCATCAGTTTCTAGATGCTTCTGACCGCAGCAACCTGAGCGCGCTAATGATACCGTATCATACTCGCGTAGTCGCATGCTTAATTGCAAGAGACGTTTGAAAAATAAATGAGCTTCACATTTCTTGGTATGCCAGCAATTTATTAAAAATCTAAGAACAAACGTATCGCTTTGGTGAGATGAGCCCCGGTGAAAGCCGGACGCCCGGTGTTCTCTTAATCCGTCGCCAATATAGTCATCTAGAGCGATCGATCATATAAGTATCGGATTCCGCAGATAGGGTACCTATCTCAGTTGTCTGGAGATGTGATCAGCCGCCCGGGGTCTGCGTCACGGGACGGGCGGCTGGGACGTGACGGAGTCTATCAGCTGACGGCCGGGCCAGTGACGTCACCAAACCGCTGAGCGGCCGCGTCACATACAGCGCCGGATGACGTCAGCGGTCACACACACACTGACAAATATTAACTCACGGCGTGTTAAACCGGTATCCACACTCAGTGCGTAATGCCGGCATCTCGGTGATCTGAGCTAGCCGACGGTCAAAGCCGACCCATCTTTTGGTGAAACCATAGAGATCTTAGGTGAAACCGCACTTGATGAATCTGGGCCCAGGGAGGTGCAATAGAGGCAGGGGGAGCACCTGAGCAGGAAGTGTCAGTGTAGTGTGTTCGTCCAGCGAGGGGTCCCCACTCCCCACATCAAACACACCATACAGTAAACACATCCGCTGTATTGTGGCCACGATGTGATGTTCTCATAGCGGACATATGTATGCACAGAGTCGGACGCCCCAGCGCACATGGATCGGCTCAGGAGCGTCATCGACACCAAACAAACGCGGAAAGATACCGGCAGCCCACGCCCCACGGGCAGCCGTGAGCCATCAGGCACAACGGATTTAGGATAAATATGGATGGCAAAAACGAACACGCAACGATGTTGATGATGAACCTCGTGAAATCTCTGATTGGTTGGCGGAATATCAATGTAATTAGTAACAATTTAATTAGTTCTAGCGCCCTACGAAAAAAAGCGAGATCCGTGTGTTGAAGAAACTGGAACGCTCGAAGCCATAGTCCAACGCCTTACAACATCAGCTGTGTCTCCTACATAACACATCAACATGTCAGAGCCGCGGCGACAACACATGGTTCGCTGGGACAGGCGAATGATCCACGACGATCCAACAAATCTCAATGGATAAGACCGCTGGCGCTCCAAGTGAGGGGTCCGACAAAGCGCCTTCAAACAGATGAAACAGTTCTGAACGGACACTAAGCCGCTCGCGCAGAGGTTCAATCCCACAACTTCATGCAACTACACGTTACACAGCTTGAGCATGTGTACTCGTATGTACACAAAACATACATTAACACATTACACATCCGATAGCAGCATCAATTCAAAGGATGCGCCTCACAAATCTCAGCAAACAACTGGGCCTCCTTAGCCTTACGGATACTGGGTGCCCTACACCGAGCGACAAAACATAAGAGAATGTTTAAAACAAAACACAATATACCCAATGGATCATTCACGTCAACCTTGAAAAATAAAACAAAAATAAATAAAACACCGAAAGAAAGAGTAAAACAGGTTTTGATCCAAAATTAAACATGATTTCAAGCAAGCTAGGACTAAAACCATCAGGAGCCCGGAGCGCACCACCGTGCGGCCATCTTGCTCTAAACTGCAGCCCCGCTGGATGAGCTGAGAATGTTCTGAAGCCGCCATTGTCAGTGACCACATTGTCCGCGTCACACACCGTGACCCGTGACCGTGACCTGGCGGTCGGCCGCCGGACAGACAGCTCAGGAGGCCTTGCTCTGCTCCGAGGACTGGAACGGCTTCCAGGTGAGACACTTGGGATCGATCTCCTTGTGGTCGGGACCGCGACGGCGCCGCTTCTCCTCAAAGTCCTCAAATATGTCCTGGGAGCGAGACAGAGAACACCATTAGAGTATAACAGGTCCGGGACAGATGTGTAGGCAAATGTATGACCGATGCATGTCGAGCGAGGTTAACGGGTACGAAACAGCGATACGAACGAAAACACAACACAGAGGGGAAGAGGAAAGCAGGGCCTCGGCTAACATGTTAACTACTGGGGCAAATGCCCCAGTAGAGTCGAGGAATGCCCCAGTAGTGGTCAGCCTTTGCCCAACCTCCACAAAATGAGAATATATCAATATTAACGTACATTCTATCATTCGGGAGCGGTTGAAGACGTTTGTGGCAAGAAATCAGAGGCGGTGGAAGAGGGAGTGCACGGTGTGCAGCTGCACCCTCAATATCCATCCAAAAACATAGGCGTGCATTGGCAAACATATCTTTTTGCACCCCATAATCCATCTTCGTTCGAAAGAGCGTCAAGAATAATGACGAAATTACTTCGGCCACTTTTTTGGTCATGGGTCAAAGGTCAGGTCATAGTGAAGGCCAAATTACGCCGATTTTCAGGTCGAATATCAACAGTAAACAAGATGCAGACGCATAACTCGGGAACCAATTAGAGCTATAGCACCGCGGAAAAGCGCATTTGATTGCCATATTAGCATGCTTTCTGTTTATTTCTCTTAGATTTGACCTAACGTCAACGGTTTTGCCTGCAAGGGGCAAAAACTACAAAAATAGACGATTTTTTCGGGAACAGTTTTTCTGCCAAAACTTTTGACTCATGCCTTGCACGAGCTTTCTTTTACCGACATCGTATTCCTCTCGTCAAGACGCATCAAATTAACTGCAATTTGACATTGAAGGTCAACTTGAAAATTCGACCTAAGGTCAAGGTCATAATCTGACCGGAAATTGTCATGTTACATATCAGTCGATCTGCATCTTAGAGCCAAACACAACTAAGGCATTTTCATCGCTCTAGCATGCCTCTTTCAAAAGTTATTCGCGAAAAACTGTTAGATACCATTCGTGAACTGAGATGACCTCAGGGGCGTAAACAAGGGTCACGGGTGCTATTTTCATGTTCAGTGTGTCAAAGTCACGTACAGTGTTTTATAGTGTTTAGAATAACTTTCGTCCAAAAGAGGTGGATTTGAATTCTCTCCCATTGACTTCTAATAGAGGTCGCAAAATTGAGCTGACCTTAGGTCACCGATATGAAAATTCCGAGATATAAATTTTGTGCATGCTGTTGCCCTTATCAATCGCTGAAAGTTTCAAAGCGATCGGTCACTCGGTGTAGCTACGGCAACATTTTATGAGGTGAGGTCACTTGAAGTGACCTGGTGACCTGATCTTGAATGACCTTGGTCTGAAATTTTTACAACACGTGTAGAATTGATGGATGCTGGAGCGCCGCCGTTTCGGAGATATCCACGAAAAACCGCAGGAAAAACCGCAAATGCCCCCCCCCCCCAGCAGGGCGCCAACCACACTTTGACGATTTGCCCCAGTAGTCAAAATTCCTTAGCCGAGGCCCTGGAGGAAAGAGTGCATGAGAACGAGAGAGAGAGAGCGAGAGAGAGCGAGAGAGAGAGAGAGAGAGAGAGAGAGAGAGAGAGAGAGAGAGAGAGAGAGAGAGAGAGAGAGAGAGAGAGAGAGAGAGAGAGAGAGAGAGAGAGAGAGAAGCTACCAGTTTTACACAGAGAAAGAAGAGAAAGAGGCACAAAGAAAGAGGCACACAGGGACAGCGATGCAGACAAACGCACGGACTTTTGACACAGAGGTCAGTGGTGCTATATAATCGCGAAAGACGTGAAGCCAACATATCTGTATCTCCTTTTTTGGCGATGGAGGGGCCCGAAATTGGGGACACCTTGGGGTTACGGCCGCCACGGGGAACACACTGGAGCGGGGCGTCTCGACCGGCCTCGAGAATACGAGCACGGCATACCACAATCGAGGAAACCACGCGGATCAAGCAGCCAACAATGGAGGCTCATTACACATCCAGAACTTCTTGCGGCCATTTTTTTTCCTTCAGACAGGTGGTGGAACAACTAACGACCATGTCAGCGCGGTTCAGCCATCCAGCTAGCACTCTCAGTTCGGGTCAGAAGCCGGGCGACATCCGGACGACGAGGCCAGTTCCCCCCCCCCCCCCCCCCTGTCGTCAGTGGTAGGCTCAGCGGGTCTCGGAGCTATTCACTAACGAGCCACCTCAGTGAGCGGACCAATAACGGCCTACGGCTGCGGTCTGTGCGGGCCCACCGAGCAGCTCGAGAGGGGCGCCGGCGTCTTCACGGCGGTGGGAGGGGAGCAGTCTCCCTCTCTGTCTGTGGCCGTGGCGGCTCTCCTCCGTACATCTCCGTACTTTATAATGCATAGTTATCACTTCAGCTCCCCTCGCCGACCACCTACCCAGGGCTTACCACCCCTCCGCCCGCGGCATTACTACCTGCCCTTTCTGAGAGCTCTGTATATAAAGAACGATGACAGAACACAAAAGCTTTTTCGAACGATTGACTGCTTTAAATTTTCTGCTTTTAAGGAAATTTCCGAAAAAAAACATCAATTTGAACATAATTAATGCATGTCTTCACGTGCAGTGTGGCTAAATTCATTTTACGTTAAGGGGAAGATGTAGAAAAAAGGCCGGAAAGGATGTCGTTATTTTCATAAAACTTGACTTCGACCCTTTTTAAGCACCGTTTTCATATCTTGATATGTCATGAGAAAATGATGTAGAAATATTAAATACTGATAAAATTTTGAAGGCATTCTGATATTCGGGATATCAAATGAGGTTTTTAAGTCGGGTCATAACTCATACTAGTACATTTAAACATTTTAGTTATTCGAATGGTTGTCTTGGCGTCTTGGGAGATTGCGAGGTTCGTGTTTCTTTTGCTCCTAGACGTTTGGGTTCGAGGTTATATCATAGTGTAATAAATAAATACCACTAACCCTACCAGTTACTACTATGGTTATTTATTACACTATAGTTATATTTATAAGTTGTGACTGCCGTGAGGATGTTTTTATTTATATTTTTAGGATGTCATTATACTTTTCATCATGGGTGGATTTCCCCGCAACATTACAATTTTGGACACACTGCGTAAGGGTAATGTGTTTTAAAAACTGCCGGCGCCAAGTCTCAAGTCCCGTTCCCTATGCTGCACGTCATTATGCCCACATGCAATTATGACAAGGCAATAGGAGGCGGTGCAGCGACGACGTGACAACAGTCGGCACAAAGACGACATATTCAAACGACACTTCACCCAGCGAAGGAGGAACACAGGACATGACGACATTAACCGGTGCCGTTCCACGAACTGGAAAACAGTGAATGACCTGTCACTGCTGTCGCCAGTTATTCGCGTCCCCAGAGATGACATCATATCCTGTTTTATCGAAACAAACGCTGAGCCATTGTGCAAGAACATTCAGTTCACAGGCGTGCATACACGGAAAAGGAACACAAGGCGAGCACGAACCCATGTGTCGCCCCCTCCCCTGTGTCACAACAGCCCTGTTCAATCCTCAGTGAACTGCCACAGGCAGGCAGCCCAGCTGACCAATAGGAAAGCTGAGACCGTGAAATTCGCGTCAACGCTAGTCGTTTTCACTTTGACCGTTAAACTTCAAACGCATGCTATAGGACTATAGGTATTTCATATTTGTGCTTACCTATAACTAGCACGTACCCGAGTAGATACTGTGAATTCCCCTGGTAGGTACAGGGCGTGACCTGCTAGTGATAATTATACCTATCACACCATGCAATATGCATGCTTCAAAATCTGGTCTCAAACATTGAATTATGCCGCGCGTGAATGGCGGATGTGTGAGATTTCGCGATACTGTAGTAGTATTTGAAAGACATACCGGGCTATGCTGTACCTATAACCAGTCAGCAGTTGAGGCCACCAAAATGAATAACTCGAAGCAACATTATATTGCTGCAGAAACTAGAAAGTGAACGCAAGACTAATTTTCTAGCGGAAGTCTTTGGTAGGACTTTGGTGTGCAACGACAATGCCAAAGCCGAATAAGACGTCAGACATGTTATCACTGCTAAGAAAAGCAGTGATAACATTTTTTAACAATCAAACCAGGAAATATGATGAAAAACCGTGCAGCTGAATCTAATGCGCAACAAAATCTCAAATTATAATATAAATGCGCGTCTGTACACGAGAACAGAACGAATCAATATTATCGTGCATAAACGACACGCCGCCAGGCATTAGTCATGCATCAGCGTAACCGGCACGTGGCCATAATTCACGCGGCGCATAAAATTGTACGTCCGACGGCCGTTAGGGCCAGAGTAATTGCAGGACGGCAGGCGTTTGGTAACGACACGCCAATTATTCGTACGGTTGGGTCAAAAACACGCATTAAACATGCAACTGGAGCCATCTGCGGCGGTGACGGTATACCTGGAACCGGGGGCAGCCGTTACTGGCGCTTCGTCTACAGCTGACGGTACCTATAGGTGATCGAGTGATCGGCTAGGGAGGGGGGCTCTACAGAGCCCCCTCCCGTTTTTCAGCAACATCTTCTGAACCGTTTGACGGATCAACACGAAACTTGCAGCACCTTCAGCGGCATCAAAATGACACCTTGTGTTAAAATTTTAGCTTTCTAGCTACCATAGTTTGGCCAGAAATGACGTCAGAGTGACGTCATGTCGGCCGATTTTGATGCAAAATATTGAATTACGACAAACGCTCTCAAGAGCTCAGTTTTAAAGCTAGATCCATTTTCATTGCATGAGTGGACTACAAATACAATTACCTATCAAACTGCTATCTCGAATTTTGAAAATTTTGAAAATTTTGAAAAATATGTTTTTACAATTACAAAATATATATCTTATCTTTTTATTTCTTTTTTAAACGTTTTTGATTTTTCGCAAAAACCGGAATATATGTGATAGAATGCACTCTGATTAACTACACTAGCAATTTTCAGTTCAATATCTTCAAAAATAGCCAAGTTATTCGCATTATTGTCAAAATTT